CCGCAAATAAATACTTCATGGGCTGAGCAAATGTTAGCTGAGACTAGTAAAACACAACCACCACACTCCACACTCTCCACTTCCGCAAAAGAGAAGGAGAAGAAAAAACAGGAAGTTGATTCAGCAGTAGGCATTGCTAACTTGACTGTAGAAAAGGAAGGCTGAGGAAAAGACGACGGAAGAACCGATGGAGATTGAAGAGATACTCCAGCAAGGGAAAGCAGTGGGGCCGATGGCTTCGCAGATGGCTGTGGTGGCTGAGATGGGTTTTAAAATGAAAAAATGGGATAGAAGAGAAGGAGGAGGCCAAGAGAGGAAGGAAGGAGAGGTTCGAAAGAATAGTGCAGTTTTTGGAAGAGTTCGTCATGACGAGGGGGAAGTCAGGGATTCCCTCTTAAGCCTAATACAGCACCCACCTCCTTTGCCAAGCCGAATGTGACATCCCATAGTACATTTATGATCGAACCTTATACTGTTTGAGAATTGACAGCACGTCAGTTTCGCACAGTATTCGATTATATTACAACAAATAACATTTTGAGGGATCTTATTCGTAATATTAAAAAACTAGATAGAGATACTACACCAGCGCGGTTCTCAGACTTTGAAGTGGTATCACGTATAGTCCACATACTCCAAACATTGCTAGACCTAGTTCAACATACTACACAATCACTCCATAATATTGCGGTTATCTTGATCCAGAGTCAGCCTCTGGATACACGCACCTTATGGGATGAATTCATGAGTTAACTCCAACATTACATCTATTAACGTTAATATGAACTTATAACAAGAACTCATGTTACCTAGGTTATTCCAAGGCAATCAAGACCGGACCTATTTTAGATTCACTCTGCAAGACTTCGTATCACAGAAGATACCTTTACAGAGATATTACAGCACAGCTCAGCAGTTGCCGCACATGCCACACAGATGATTAGAGTACTGGAAACTCATCGGAGGGTCACTTCATTAACCCGCGACAGGGTTCGAGTGACTCGGGAAGATGAACAGTCGCACTTCAATCCACAGGTCGGCACAGTCCCACCAAGGCCTAAGGAGCCCGAGACCTACATAGAGACTCTTCGGTGGTGACGCGGCAACTACTCAGAGGCACTGATGATCAGGACAACGGAAGAGTATCTGCAGACGTCCACCCTAGACAGGCACATACAAGAGGAAGCCCGTCGCCCCAGCTTTCATACAGGTCGAGCAGTACAAGGCCCTCTGAGAGCCATTACTATTCCACATATGGGACCCCGTGAGCATACTTCAAGGACGGAGAGTGCCGCAAAACCCCGTGTTCCTCCCGAGGCTGGGCGTGAGCCCACTCTATCCCCTAGGGTCGGAGGCGAACACGCGGGGCTAGGCAAAAGGAGGCATAATACAGGTGATACAATGCGTGAGACCGAGCCTCCATCAATAAGATCACGGTATGACCTACGACCCGGACCAGTTACTCATAGTTCGTCCCAACGGTCGGTAGAGCAAGCCGCGGCCCCGCTTAATACATATTTCAGGTTTCCGGTGCGCTGCGCCCCTACCGAAGATGTCGAAGCTTGCGTCTTCTGCGGTTTAGATGAGCACTTCAGCTCTAATTGCGACCGGTACTCATACCTCAAAAACAGGGCGCACCGAGCAGCGAGTTTTGGGATCTGTTGCAACGCATCGAAAAACATTACTGACCTTGCATTCGCAAGGACCTCTGTAGCATATGCAAGCGGGAGATCCACCGCAGGTCATTCTGTGTCCGTAACTGGTTCGCCATTTAGGACCTGAATATGCTCCGGACGCCTTCTGTGATCGCTCGAGATCTCGGACCTATCGCGCCCCTCCTCTTGGAGCGCCCACTCGTAGACCGCACCAATATACTCGCTTCGAGCAGGGCAGCGACGGAGGAGCTGACCATTCGAGGTCTCGAGACAAACGCCTCCTCTTAGGAGACCCTCTCCAGGTCCCGCCACCTCGTATTCGAGGCACCAACGGGAATGGCCTCCTGCCAAAAGTGATGAGTCCCGGCGAAGCGAAAACAGCATAATATTGAGTTGTCCGAAAAGTTTCCGCCGAATTTTGATTCATCTTTGAATGAGAATTCCTAGAGGAAGAAATCCATTGATTGAACAATATTTCCTCCATTCTGTTGAGTAAGGATTCGCCATCTTCCTGTAAGTTCCGGTTCCCCTCTTCCATAGAAAGTTCCAGAGTTAAAATCGAAAAAC